GAAGATTTTAAATGGGTGTGTAATTTGCAAGTTCATTAGGATCTAGTTGTGGTTTCTTAATTAGAGGCTTAATAACCTCCAGCAGATTATCAGTTTACGCTGCCGCTTCGCTTGATCTGAGGTGGCTACAGCGATCTATCATGCCACAGTAAAGAACATCAAAGCAGTATTTATTGCTTAAATTTCCTAATATAATGGACATAATTTGACTTTGTTTCATATCAAAAGTAACAACAAAGCTTAGCCTATTGTGATTTATTGGTTGGTAGGCACACTATATGTACGGTTCATTCATCAACTGAAAACAGAATTGATTGGGATTTAAGAATCGATATTGGTTCATAAAAATTAGAATCTATTAAAATAGATAAATTGTTTTTTTGTTTTATCCAGCCGTAGCATATTTTGTTGTTTTTAGTGGCCTCTGCTGTCATTGTGTGGGGTGTGATGTTAAATGTGAAAAGTGACACACAATCTCTGTTCATCTCTTCTCTTCATAAATAAATGCATAAGCCTATATGCGTCCTGTATTATTAAAAATTAAATACAAGCAATTAAATGTGTTATTATAATTAAAATACGAAAAAGTTAAAATTACGGGTCATAAAAGATTATGACGGAATTTTTACGACCCTCTCCGTCAAAATGATGGACAATGTTAAAGTCTAACACAACCTCTGTATATATTATAATATATAATAATAATACTCTCAACTATAGTTATCTTTTTGCACTGACTCAGTTAAGTTGCATTTATGTAGAACATTAAGTATGTTCAACTTGAAGTTTAGTTGGAAAAAAATATTAAAATGAGGTAATTATTATTTTTTTGTTTACTTAACTGAACTTTTTGAGGTAGTTTCCACTGACTTAAGTGGATTTTACTTAGAATATTAAGCATTTTCAACTTGAAAAATGTGGTTATTTGAGCTTACAAAATTTAGTAGGCATAACTTTATTAAAGTAAGGTGAACTTAAGTTTTCAATGCCAAAGTTTCAACCTTCATATGCCAAAATCTATTTCAAAATATATTATAGGATCAAGAAAATATATTTCCAATCTTACAGTAGGCTAAAATGCAAATCTAAATGCAAATGTGGATGGAATAGCCTACTAAAGCCCAAAACTAAATTTGTAGTGATTTAATAATGTTTATTGTTTTGTTTTTTACATTGTAAAGTATGTTCCTTACTGATTGTTGATTTTTTTTGGCCTAATGGTTAGAGAGTCAGACTTGTAACCCCAAGGTTGTGGGTTCGAGTCTTGGTACATCATGATCATTACTGATGGTGAAGTCAATGAATTCATATACTATTATACTGATTTGTGTGATTGCATATTGATTTAAAAGTAAGCATACTATAGGCATAATCGTAAGATTGACCCCTAAACCTAACCTTAAGTGGGATATCATATTAAATAATTGCATTGAGATCATATTGATTCCTACAAATTTACCAAAATGTAAAATAATGACATATTGCTGTGAGACTGTGTTGGTGCTGACGACTTTTAACCGTCCACACACAGAAAAAAATGAAATCATGGATATAATCACTAATGTCTGATGGAAACCGGACCCTTCAGAGTTTGTTAGCTTAACCACTTTATTGTTCAATAATAATTTGTAGATAATTAGCACAGCTTGATTAAACTGAAGCTGTTTGCTCTCAGCTGTGTTTTACTGCACGTTAAATCCTTCCCTAATTCCTCGCTTTTCCTGCATCTGATGCCCTGAAACCCGAGGCAGAGCTGTGTGTGTGTGTGTGTGTTCTTAAAGACGTTTACCTTCGCTGCTCATCCAATCTGCTTATTCAAACATCATTATCACTGTTAATATCTGGTTTGCACAGCAGTGATGGCCGGATCTCCACCGTTTTCAGTTTGGATTTCTCTGACTGTTTGGTCAATATTCTTCTCTGAAACTGTGTTTCTCTTTCCTGCTGGTTGAAGATCTCTGGAAGCACTGAGGCAGAAGAAACACACACACACACACACACACACACACGTTTGGTTGTTATTATGTTGGGTCTTCTGTTGTTTTATCTTGAGCTAATGATATTCTCTAAACCCTCTCACACACGCCACATTTTGAAGTGTTCATTAGGAGGCTGTTTAGTACGTTTATGATGCTGGTTTTCTCATGGGGACCGTAGGCTTCGTCTCATAATGTAGGTAAATCTAACACACACACTCACACACACACTCACACACTCACACAGACACACACACTCAGACACACACGCATGCACGCACGCACACACACACACGCACACACACACACACACACACACACACACACGCACGCACGCACGCACGCACACACACACACATAAACACACACACACACTCAGGAAACATATGGACGAATCCAGCTCGCAGCTAAAGGTGTTTGTCTGCCAAAGCTCTGAGAGCATCTCTGGAGCTCCTCCAGCTCCTCTGGAACATCACAGCGCTTCATTTGTTTACTGGAAGCGTCGCAGCAGAACACGTTAAAACAGCCGTGATTTGTAACTCCCGCCCAGCGCAAACATGTGACTCGGCCTGCTTGCCTTGTGATTGAGAAACGCCGCAGCACCGTGACTTTCTGTCTAATTTATTCAGCCACTTTCTACAGAAGCCATTTTCCCCAGCAGAAAGAGGCCGGGCGTAATTATCCTAATTAGTGCTAATTCAACATGGCTGAGCCCATTTTTGTAACGAGCCCCTCATCCAGAGCTCAGAGGAGGAGGCTCGATGGTCGCCGCCTCCCTTTGTTGCCACAGTAACCGTTTCCATGGCGACCCGCTCTTGACAGTGATGGGAAATGAAGAGGGGTTAATTTCACTGTGAAGGGGCACAAATTAAAGCCGAAATGAGAGAGAAAGTCAAATGCCTCCTGTTTGCAAATGAACTTCTGTCAGACAAAAAAAAAATATATATATATAATTTAGAGATCCAGCAGCAAATAAAGCTTCAAATCAGATGACACACCAACATCACAAACCAAAACAAGTGCACTTTAGCACACGTTTTAAAAAAAGAGTACTTGTTTTGGAATAATATACTTAAGATCAAAGAATATACTCAAGTATATTAACTAAATGTTTGTTTTTTTTTAGAAACTGAACTGCATGCTAATTGCTGTTAATAGTTTACATCTATAATAAATGCAATTAGCTTAACTTTTGAATTACTTTTGAGACATTTTATAAATAGGACTTAAGTGCTTCTTTTATAATTATATATATAAGATCAAATATATAGGCTATTCCATTTTTTCTGTTGAAGCAACTGGATGATTTATGTTATTTTTAATATTCTGAATCTTTTATACAGGGTGAGTAATATTTTTGTAAGTTCAGTTGTTATGTTGTCTTGTGGACTGTATGTAAATATCTGCTATGTGAAAAAAAACTTATTTAGGGCAGCACTAATAAAAAAAAAAAAAAGCTATTTTTATGATCCTCTTGTTTTATTCAAATTATTCTGTAATGTGTATGTGAACAAAGTTACAGATTCTCCACTTCACCTGAAATATTTCCATGCATTGCGCTTGATTTTTTGTTTTTTTTCCAGCATGTATACATGTACAGTATGTTCAGGTTTGATTAGTATTATGGGGCCAGAATTGGCATCTCAGTGCAGTAAAACATCATAACAGCATCTGATGTTTATAGATATTTGAAATGAAATGTAAAAGCTCAATCATCCAGAAACTGAACCCAGAGATGTTTGATACAGAGAGTTTAATTTGCCTTAAACCCTTAATCTTGATGCCGCTGTTGATGTAGATCAGTTTTAAGAGGACAGTCACACACACACACCCTCTCTCTCTCACACACACACACACACACACACACACACACACACACACACACACACACACACACACACACACACACACACACACACACACACACACACACACACACACACACACACACACACACACACACACACACACACACACACACACACACACACACACACACACACACACACACACACACACACACACACACACACACACACACACACACACACACACACACACACACACACACACTCTCTCACACACACACACACACACACACACACACACACACAGATCTGACAGTGTAATTTCTATCCAGTCAGAAACGTGCCTCCATTAATCCTAAATTTACACGTTTTTAGGTTTGACGGTCACATTTTGTGTTCCTCCAAGCATACAATCAACATTTCTAATGAAAAATAACAATGTTACGGCACAATTATCCTAAAATGTCAGAGTTGCTTTTCAGTATGACTGCTGCCAAATGAAATTCAAATGAGTTGTCATTATGCACATTTTTATTTCTACAAAATACAGATGAAATATCATAACAACTATACAGTATATCTTAGGAGTAGTTCACTTACAAATCAAGATTGTGTCATTGTTCTCAAGCATGAGTGTGTTCGTATGACAACAGATCATTGACCAATAGATGTATTAAACTGATCAAACGTGTCAGTAAAGACATTTATATTTATATGTTCTTTTGAACTTTCTATTCATCTGTGAATCCTGAAAAAATCTAATGTTTCACAGTTTCCACAAAAATATTGTGCAGTACAACTGTTTTCAACATTGATAATAATCAGAAATGTTTCTTGAGCAGCAAATCAGCATATTAGAATTATTTCTGAAGATCATGTGACACTGAAGACTGGAGGAATGATGCTGAAAATACAGCTGCGCATCACAGAAATACATTACAGTTTAACATACAGTGCATTCACATAGAAAACAGCTACTTTACATTCTAATAATATTTCACATTTTTGTACTGTATTTTTGATTAGATAATTGCAGAGGACAGTAGAATAGACTTCTTTTAAAACTTATTTAGACATATTTAAAACTTTTGAATGCTAGTGATACATAGTATAGTATAGTATAGATAGATAGATAGATAGATAGATAGACTCACATACGTTTATTCATGACTGATTGTATGTAGTTTCTCATGTAAATGTCTCTGTTTTTGTGCAGGTCTCTGGAGGGAAAATGTTCCACTGATTTTCGTTCCTGCAACCTCAAAGTAAGATCAACACACACATTCTCTCTCTCTCTCTCTATCTCTCTCTCTCTCACTCTCTCTCTCTCTCTCTCTCTCTCTCTCTC